TGAGCTGCTTGGGTTGCACAAAGTAAGCTGGGTCTAGAACAGAGTACCTCTCCCAATTGTTCTGTATTTCTTTGCTATAGAATACGAGGTAAAACTCAGCATAAGGGGGGAATGGAAAAACAAAATTGCAAAATATCAAATATCTCATGGGAGAAGCTTCTGTTCCTCTTGTCCTTCCCTTGCTATGAAATCATAGAATACTAGAACTGGAAGGAACCTCAAGAGGTTATCGAGTCCAATCCCCTGCCCTCACAGCAAGACCAAGCACCCTCTATACCATTCCTGATAGATGTTTATCTAACCTACTCTTAAATATCTCCAGAGATGGAGATTTCACAACCTCCCTAGGCAATTTATTTCAGAACCACCTTGACAGTTAGGAAGTTTTTTCTAATGTCCAATCTAAACTTTCCTTGCTGCAGTTTAAGTGTATTGCCTCTTGTCCTATCATCAGAGGCCAAGGAGAACAATTTTTCTCCCTCCTCCTTGTGATACTTGAAAACTGCTACCTTGTCCCTTCTCAGTCTTCTTTATAAACTAAACAAGACCAATTCTTTCAGTCTTCCCTCATAGCTCATGTTCTCTAGACCTTTAATCATTCTTGTTGCTCTTCTCTGAACCCTCTACAATTTCTTCACATATTTCTTGAAATATGGTGCCCAGAACTGGCAGAGGCCAATTGAGGCCTAATCAGCACAGAGTAAAGTGGAAGATTGTCATATACACTTGTCATACTAGTGTAAATACAGTTCCCAAACATCACACGTCAAGTCATACATGATAGTTGGTGAATGGCAAAAGGTGCAGAAGTTGAGAAAAATGTTCTTGGGTGTGACACAATCTGGTTTTGGTACATTGGGTTAAGTAGCTGTCAAAGCCCTGGGCTGTTCCTGCACATATTACAAATCTAGTAGAAGTAAAGCTCTTCCTCAGTAGTTTGAGTTCCTTTTGATCATTTTACTTTAGTATACAGGTTATATCAATTGTTTTATTTTTGCCTCAATCTGATGAAATTATGGGTTTTGTTCATACAATTAATGTATTATCCATGAAAGGCAATGAAGTCTCTCTCAGTGGAGATGGAGATTATATCTGGAAATATCTGCTGTTCCAAGTGTTTTATGTATTTCAGCTAGGGAAATGGAATATTCAATTTCATTATTCAGAATAGGACTATTCATTTTGTACAATGAAGGGAAATTCATCAATACCATCTTCAGTTTCCAGAAAAGTGATTTTTTTGGTGTGATGGTTTCATATACTCTATTTATATTTTATATCTTTCTCATCACTTGGAAATTATTCAGCTTCTCCAATAACAGGTTACCATAATTCCTCTGATCTCCTGAAAGCAATTCAATCACTGAAAGCGATTGCTTCTACTGAAAGATTTCACCAAATGCAAATAATCAAATAAAAGATTTCTGTATGTTAGAATTTTAAGAACATTTAGGGATACTTCATTGAGGCTGTGTCCAGACTCAGGGTTTTTTTCGAAAAAAGTAGCCTTTTTTCGAAAAAACTTCACCTGCGTCTAGACTGCAGCCGCGTTCTTTCGAAATTAAATCGAAAGAATGCGGCTTTTCTTTCGACCGTGGTAAACCTAATTCCACGAGGAAGAACGCCTTCTTTCGAAAGTGCTCTTTCGAAAGAAGGCGTTCTTGAAAGGAAACAGGCTTTTTAGAAAGAGAGCATCCAGACTCACTGGGTGCTTTCTTTCGAAAAAGCGGCTTGCTTTTTCGAAAGTTCCGCGTGCAGTCTAGACGCTTTCTTTCGAAAGAGGCTCTTTCGAAAGTATTTACCAAAGGTGGTAAATCCGTATTACTACATCTTGGTACTCATTGTACTGACATTAATCATGATGGATTCTTGGAGAGGGATGCTAATGTGATACTGTAAGTAATTTATTAGAAATAACATTGCTATGCAAAATTAATTCATGACCTCTTGTTACTCCCATTCTTCACTGTTTTTCTTTTTAAAACCAATTCAGTGTAATATGCAATATGGTCAGTGCAAACTTATGATAATTCTATCTACACTTGCATATTACTTTTAAATTTTAATTTAATTTTACTGCTTCTGAGATCTACAGGCTTGGGAAAGATGAAAGTAGAGTTGTAATTTCTACCATGGGCCTGACCCTGCTCCCACTGAAATCAATTAAAGTTTTTCTGTCTCCTTCAACAAGCACAGGGACAGGATTAGTAAGACAACATATGACTTTTCTGGCCATTAATAAAACAACATTTTCCTATTATCTCATTCTCTAGGAATGTTCAAATTATCTTTTATGCCAGTTGATTCAAATGTTATGTTTTGGAGAGCATGACAGCTGGGAAGGAGGGTTTAGGCCTTGTTCTGGGATTTAATAGATCTGTATTCACTTCACAGCTCTATCATGGACCTTGAGCAAACGACTTATTCTCTCTGCCCCAGTTTCTTATCTGTAAGATAAAGTAGAAATACTTTCATTTCCTGCAGGGGTATTGTGAAAATCAATTCATTAGTGTTTGCAGACAACAATGAAGATCATATGAAAACATAGTCTTACTTTCAGTCATACTGTTATACTCTCTTTTCACTGTATGCCTGTAATGGTGTTCACTCATCACAAGAGCATCTCCTCCTGTGCAGGCATGGCATCGCTCTCTTCCTGTAATTCAAAGTGCTCCCTACTCACAACTCCTCCTTCTGGCTTGGTTACTTAATAGCTCTTCCCCATCCCCCGCCCTTCTAGGGTATGGAAATTTTGCTGGACTAACTGTCCAGATTGCACCTCAGTTTAATGACACTTCCCAGTGGCTGGTAGGGGAAGCCAGGCCCTTCAAATTCTAGTCCAGTGACTGTCTACACAGTCCTACTATTGCTGCTGTTTCTGTGGGCTTCTTCCTACCCTGCCATTTCAGGCTTGCTTTCTCCACAACTCCTCTAGGGTTGACCCTTCTTTCAGAGACAAGATCCTCAGACTCATTCTCTATTCTGGGTTTCCTGCTCCCAAAAAGTGACTACAGACTCTCTCTCTCTCTCCTTGAAGCCACCTGGTACTTCCCCTCTTTATAATCCTTTGTCAGTTGGGCATCAAGAACAATTAGGTATATATCAATCCCTGGGGCTTGAAGGTTAATTGGTCATTTCTGGGCCACCTTGACCCCTTCAGGGCTGGTGTGGGGAAGAACATGCCACCACAGTGCCTCTTCAACCATTGCTTTCTTAAAATCCTCTTTCTCTAGGAAGCATTACCTCCTTCTTTTCCTCACTAGCAATCTCTCTTCTCCTTTTTCTTTTCCTGAGCTGTTGTCCCATATCTTCTCTTGTGTCTGTTTTTCCTTTGTCTTTTTCAGAAAGTAAGATAACCAAAACATATGATCTATATGAATGGCTGTGACTAAACTGTATCCTTTAAGTTATGTTTTATATACATAATTTTTAATTAGGATTGGCTGATGTGTACATGAGGAACATAGTGAGGTGTATTGTAGATCAGATATGACCAATTAAAGTGCTCAAAGGTATCCTCCTATTTTCACAGAAATTTACATTGATTTTAGTAATAAGCATTATCTTCATTAGGAATGTTCCACAATGAACTGTACTACTGGAACTTTAATTTGTAGTGATGCTAACAGTGTATTCTATGTTTTTCAGAGGTCTGAATTTTCAACACCTAAAATTGTCTGCATACTTTCACATCTGTAATTTGGCACACACAGAATGCTAATTTGTGCTTTCTAAATGGATTTGCCCATGCAGATAGATTTAGTAGATATCCACACAATTTGTATTCACAACCCAAATCTGCTCCTATTATAGCCAGTGACAAAGCTTCCTTTGACCTCAGTGGAAGTCAGATTAGACTCATTTTGAATTTTGAAAAATTCTGTTTGGAAAAGGTGAAATGTGAAAAAGAGGAGTCACCAGCATGTCGACACCACTTTATGAAATTTAGGACTCAGTACCATTTTCAAAAGCAAGATACAATCGTGCATGTTTGTGCATGCACAAATCCTGATTTTTTGAATTGAGACCTATATATATTCACAGACACCAGTTTGAATACGTGCATGTGAGTTTGTGTGCATTTTGCATGTGCAAAAATGCACATACATTAAAAAAACCCTCGCTATAGCAATGTACATAACGATGTAAGACAGTGATTCCCATAATTTTAAGGCAACCATGCACATTGTCCAGACTACGGGCTTGATTCTGTTCTTCTGTACCTGTGTAAATCACAGTTAACTCATCAAACATGTAACTGCTGTAAATAAGACCAGAACCTAGTTGAAATGAGGGGGAAAGAAACAAGAAAGAAGAGCAATGGGGCATGCTGGGGCAAAACTATGAAGTACTGAAGTGGAGGACAAGGACCTTAGCATTGATATAGCAAAGGGAAAGAAGCCTATGAAGGAGGGAATGATAAGGTCAAAAAGAATGGGTTAGGAAAGTTACCTTACCAGCAATATTTTAAATAGACTGGCTGGAAGGAAAGTGAGACATGCAATGGCTGCTGTCTATACATCAGTGTTATCTGAGATACAGCAGTACTTTCCATTGCAGTTATGGGGCAATAGTGATGATTGTGATTTGCCAAGCAGTGCAGAGTATTTAACTACTGATTCTCCTTTAGCTTAAGTGAAAGACAGGCAACCAAATATCCCGAATGGATCTGAAAATCTAAACTGCCATCTCTTAAGTCTTACTGCAAATGTAGACATATTAATGACATCCACGGTAAAATATGCTAATTAATAGTCCTAGAATAATTTCATTATGAAAATGTATTTGTCTCTATGGTGCAACTATAAAATAAGTCAACCCACTGCAAAATAGAGTAATGCTGAATGTCTCTTCTCAAACAAACAAGAATGCTTTATTCCAAATTAATTTATTTGTCTGTTGATATCTGCAAAATGTCTATACAAACACTTCAAAGAGGTGGCAAGATTCAGAACTTGCTTGTGAACAATTTAATTTTCCTTAATAAAACCTCCATTCAGACATTGTAGATATAAAGCCAGCCAACATGGAGGACCTGACGGAAGTGATTACTGCATCCGAGTTTCATCCCCACCATTGCAATCTCTTTGTCTATAGCAGCAGCAAAGGATCCTTGAGACTCTGTGACATGAGGGCATCAGCCCTCTGTGACAAACATTCCAAACGTAAGTTCATAAGATACGTTTGCTACAAATGCTGGGTAATGTTAATCATTTATAGATAGGGCACCTCTACATATGTACTGGAGTGCAGCATATTACAGTTGTTTTAGCTTATCAATTGCAGACATGCTAAAGGAAGCAAAACGGAAAAAACTGAGCAAGTCATTGAATTGATACAAGACTTATTTAGGGACTTCATTGGAATCACTTCTCTAACTACTGTTCCTTGCGGTTCATACTACAAACATAACTGAGTGAAAAACCTATAACCCTCTATCAATAGACAGATGGTTCTCAACAGTTTAGATTGATAGTCTCTTTGTGAAGAGTCTAAGTACTGTTTAGTGTGGGTGTGCATCTGCTATTTTGGAGTGCAGATTTAAGTTTTGGGGCAAGCATATTTTGTCCATCCAAACTTCATACAAAAAATTCAAGAGAAGCATTTCTAAGCTGCACTGTCACTTTAAGTTTTGGCCCCACATTTTTCAGATAAATGTAATTTCTAAGCATTGTTTTTGCTCAACTAAACAAATTAAGTAACTGATAGTATATAAGGTATGTAATATAGGAAAGGAGGTTATTTCAAAATTGAACAACAAAAGGAAAAAAAATTGTGGTACTATAAAAAGGTATTCTGTAGTTGCCCTAATGTGGATGTATATAGCTTATGAGATTCCTATCACGAAGTTGTAGCTATTTCATTTGATGACCAAATGAGGAATATGAAATCTGCAAATGGAAAAAGGGAGTTATCTTAAGTTCATGATAGCACCAGAATATAAATTATCATGAGACTGTATTCCTTCATGAAGAGTCTATGAAGTGAGGATTGCAATTCATTACATTACAAAATAATCTGACTATCATCTCCTTAGAGTCCAAATAGGAGTGCACGGGAATATGGAATCCTTTGAAACCCAATTGGAGAATGGATTAAGTGTGATAGGTTTATCAAGCTGATGTGATTGAAAGGGCATTTCCCATGGAGAAGCTTTTAAAAATTGGACTGAGGTTAATACATAATGAAAGAGAAAACTAAAAATGTCACTCATGTTACCTGGTACTGACATATGTTTTCTGGCATGGGGGAGGGGGAGGAGGGTGAGGGAAGAAAGAATGGAAAGTATTGAACCTAAAGATAAATGGTTAAATTATAGCTCCAACAGCTAGTGGGAAAACCTGCAGAGAATCTTAGCAACTCTAGTGCCCAAGTGATGGTGAGAGGAGGCATAATGGGACATTCAGAGAGCAGCATATACTGCACCTGTACAAAAAGTATGCTTTCTTCCACGCTGCCCATCTAATACTGGTTGATACACAGGGAAAATGGTCCCCTATCATATCTCTAATCAGCCCTATGAAGTTCTGTAAGTGCTAGTGCTTTTGCAAGCCTTTTGTTCAGAGAGTGAATGCAGACAACTATGGTGGCCCCCAACAGTGGTGAACTGGGGAAAAGGGCTTCCCTGCAACACTTTCCCCACCATTGCTATTGGCCTCGATGTGCACATAAAGAAGCAGGTGAACTGTGAGTTCCGTACATAGGACGTTAAGAATGAAACCGGTGCAAAATATAGATACAATAATGGTACAAGATTTGCCAAACCTCAAATATTTATCTAACGAGGATTCTGAATTTTGCTGGAGCTACTAAATAGTGGAAGTTAAAGATCGTGAATTATTTCTTTTTAAGTAATTCAGTGTGAATGGTTGGGCATCCACCTTTTTCCAGAACTCCCCTCTGGTGCATTTCTCTCAGTTTATGGTGACCCCTTCTGACAGTTTCTCTAGTGGTCCCTATAGTGGCTCAATCCTCTGGCCAAGTAATTTACAGCCTGTACAGAACACAACTGAAACAGATGCCTTCCAGGTATTTATCCAACAACGTATTTAAACACTCCTGGCCCTGGTAGAGGGACCATTCCCCAAGGGCTTCTTCCGTTGGAAATTATTGTCCACTCTGGTCTGTTCTGCCTCCAGCTGAGCCTGTTAACCCCTCTAAATCTTCTGGGGGTTTATTGCTGTCTAATTGTAGGTCACTTCCCCAGTGGCCATTACTCCAAATTCCAGCACAGAGAACACCATGTCTCTTTAACAAAACAGCTTTCAGTTCCCTGGGCTACTTCCCAACAGTCCCAGCCTTCACCAGTGCTTCAGGTTCTTCTATGTTCATGTCCAGCCGGCAGCCAGGAGCTCTTTCTCTTTCTCCCAGTCCTTGCCAGCACTGAGCTGTCGATGGTACTACAGTTTCCTCTAGCCCAAAGGTGGGCAATAAAATGGAGGCAGTTCACCTGGGTTAGCCCCTGGCAGGCCGGCACTGCTACATTTACCTGTGCCTCCACAGGTGATTGCAGCTCCTATTGGCCACAGATTGGAACATCACTTCCCACAGCTTGCATTGGCTAGGAACGATGATCGTGGCCAACGGGAGCTGCATTCGCCCATACCTGCAGAAGCACAGGTAAATATAGCAATGGTGGCCCATCAGGGGCTAACCCTGAAAACTGGATCCTGCCTTAGGGCTGGTATTTGCCCATCTCTGCTTTATCCAGTCAGGAGTACCATCTGAACTCCTCTGACTCAAACTTACTCAAGAACTGACAGTGATCTGAACTGTAGTTCCTTTTATACTAGTCTGCAACATGATTGACTAGCCCTTTGCCACCTCCCTCTGATTGGCTGCTTTCTTGCACAGTTGCTCTAGGCTGCTTGGAGGACTTAGCTCCACTTCTGCTTTCCTGGGAAGGTTGTGGCAGGACCCTCGGGAGGAGGCGGAGGGGGAGCGGGGGCTCTGAGCCCAGTCCACCCATTCATAGCATAGATAAAAATGAAATCCGGTTTTCATTTCATACAGTACATGAGCTGATGAATTACTACTGTAATAGAGGGAGCATGTGCTAAATGGGATCACAGCAGCCTGTGTAGATTTTCTTTGCTGCTTTTCACTAAATACTTGGTTACAAACAGGACTATTATTTTTATCTAGACCAGTGGTTCTTAACCTGGTGTACAGGGCCTCCTGGGGTTCCAAGAGCAAGTTTCAAGGGGGTCTGTGAAGTATTTCTGATGTTGGACTCACTATAGCTCAGGGCAGAAAGCCAAAGCCACATCCCACAGGACTGTAGACCAGGGCCCCAAGTCCTCCTGTGCAGAGCTGCAGCTGAAGCCTAAGTAGCTTAGCTTTGCTGGGCTATGGGCAATTGCTCTGCTTGCTACCCCTAACACCAGCCCTGGCTTTTATATGCAGAAGATCTGTTGTTGTGGCATAGGTGGGCTGTGGAGTTTACATAGCATATGGAGGGAGGGACTCAGAAAGAAAAGGTTGAGAATCCCTTATACATACATGAGTTCCCATTCTTTTGAGACTCATCCTGTTTGAGTAGCAATTGCTGTTTGTTATGTGTTTGGAACCAGAGACTGCTATCTGTCCTAAAGGTAATGAAATCATTTAAATCTTTCTGTACAAATACATAGTTCCACTCACATCACTGTTCAGATAGGCCCACACATGATGCCTGGTCTGATCTTGCTACCATGGAAGCCAATTTCTGAATCTACGTTGGCTGGACTAGGAAGAAGACTGAGCCCATTGTTGTATAATTCCATTCCTCCATATTAGTGGAGATGCCTAGTATCCTTATGGTGTTGTGACGATTGAGTTATGTAGAGCACAAAATGCAATGAAAATGAGAGTGCTGCAGCAGAAATGTGTATTGTGACTGAGCCACTTGAGGAAAAGTAGCCCAAAACATTATGTGGGGGAGCAGAATGGAGAGCTCCTTCTCCTAATAATATAAGGCGCTGAGTTGCTCTGCGCCATGTACTGCAGGTTAGCAAAGGCACATTTTCTTGAGCTCACAATCTATTTTTTTCAGTATCTGCTGAGATCTGACATAGGCCATATCTCCACTTTCTGTGCTGTGGCATTCAATTTAGCGTGTCTAGTTAAGACACGCTAAATTCAATGATGAGGGTGGCTCCTGTTGGCACCGATACTCTTCTAAGTTGTGAGGAGTAAGGGAAATTGATGGGAGTGTTTACTTCCGTCAGCCTCCCTCTCTGAAGATGGCATCAAGCTTAGCTTAAAGCAAGCTGATTCCAGCCCCATATTTTATATACAGGCAGTCCCCAGGTTACGTACAAGATAGGGACTATAGGTTTGTTCTTAAGTTGAATTTGTATGTAAGTCGGAACTGGCTCCAGATTCAGCCACTGTTGCTGAAACTGACCAGGGGCTGACTACAGGAAGCTGGAGGCAGAATTGCTCTGCCTCCAGCTTCCTGGAATCAGCCACTGATCAGTTTCAACAGCCGCTGAATCTCGAGCCTGGGACAGAACAGCTGGGCGGGCCGGGAGGGTCCTGCAGGACCAACCTCGCAGCA